CGGGGGCCGTCCCCGTCCCCCCCCTCGGCCTGTTCCCCCTCCCCTCCCTCAGTCCTCGGGAACCAGAAATGCACCCCAAATGCCTTGGGGTTTTATTTCCGACGTCCCGGGGTTGGTTGGTTTTCGCTCCGGTGGGTCAGAGGGACGACAAGCGGGAGCGAACCGGAGCATGTAAACTCTTATCAGGGCTTTAGAGTGGATAAGGACCTTGAAAGCAGCCCAAAACAGAGCTTTACTAAGCTCTGTGGGTGCTGGTCCTGGATTTGAGGTGGGGGCACCTGACCTGTCACCAGGTCCAATCCCTGGATAAGGGATTTTCATCTCTAATCCGAATTTTAACCCTGCCGGGGTTAATTTTACCCCCCTCCCACATTCACCCACAGGGCCCCAGAGCCCACTGCCTGGGTAGGAGACTTTATTAATATTTCTTTCCTCCAAGGGCAGATTTGTCAGCCTGTCATTACTGCCTTTTCGCCGTTTCTTTCCTTTATAAAATCAGCTGAACTCTCTGAATACTAGACCTGGGCTTCTGCTGCAGCATCCACCAGTATGGAGTCGTGTTGAACATTAGTAGGATGCAGGAACGGGGAAACAGGAATGGAAATAGGAAAATGAATTTTAGCAGATAGATGACATTACCACGGGTTTTATAAAAATTGGCTGATGTATATTGGGAATCAGCGCTGATGTTAGAGGAACAACGGTGCAGTGAGTGCAGCTATTACGTGCCCCATCCCATAGTTGTGAGATACGGCAGGTGGTTGGGAGAACTGGATGGCAATCTGGAGGATTTACTGGGGGAATTAAAGTATCAAAGGAACAGAAAGGTCACAGGGAAAATGAAGGTATTGAAGAGTGAGAGGAAGGAGTATAGCATATAAATCCATCCAAACTGAGTGTTCTTAGCTCATTGTTCATGGAACAATTTGTTTCACTCTCTTAATTGGGTAAAATGGCGAAGACGCCGGGAACAACTCAGCAAGATCCTTTTTGAAGTAACAAGGCCAGTCAGAAAAGTTATGTTTCTCCCTCCCGAATATCCTCTTCTCATCGTTCATTACTGTCCAGCCCTAAAGATTAGGAGTCAGATGGTTGCAAGTGTGAACTCCTATCTGCAGTTCCCCAGCGATGAATTTTCCCAGGGGGTGCTGACGCAGGAGAGAAAAACCACAGATTGGTCAACCCTTGCACCAAAAAAAATTACTGAGGAGTACAGTGGAAAAAAAAAAAAAGCACAAGTGGTATGCCTCTGGCAGAGAGAAGGCTCCCGGTCTCAGCAGCAGCAGCTGCTGCAAGGTTCAGATGCCAACCTGAGCCTTGCGGAAAGATACTTTTCCCTGCAGAGATGTGAGACACTTTGTCTGATCCGGGTCTGAATGCAGAGAGAAAAACATAGATACCATTTCAGACTTGCATGAGTGCCCATCTAACACCGTGATCTACCTGAGCTCGAAATCTTAATGGGAAAAAAATGGAATTAAAAGGCAAAAAGATGGGATTTAAAGGCTATTCAAGGACTAGACCTGAACTAATAGCTTCTAGATATCCTTAGATGTCGTGGTTTGGGCCAGACTGGCCATTGAGCTAACAGAAGTGGATCTGGAGGGGATTAAAAGAAAGATGAAAGCATGAGTAATTGGAATAAGTAGACACTATTTCCTTTTCCCTGGTATTTGCTTTATTCAGATTCATGCATATAGAACTCAAGTGATGTGAGACTCTATCTTCTGCTCACTCATTCCATCCTCACGCTTCAGCACGCAGAGTTCACTAATCTTACCTGGGAACTTCTCCTAAAATAAAACAAGCGAACTGAGAGAATACTCAAAATGACAAATAATGAATTTCTCCACAGAGGGTGATACTGTAAGAGTCTGCACTGAAAGCTGGACCTACCATCGAGATTCTCGAGGAAACTTCTCGTCTCTGGGCTGTGCAATTGCACTCGAAGAGAAAGCGAAAGAGGCTACAAACAGCTCCTACAGAAGGGGAAGGTGGTTGGGAATCCACCCCTCCCAACAAAACACATTTGGCAAAATCATACTTAATTCTGGATTACTTCTTGCTGGAAAACAATCTTGCCTTGCTAGGTCTGCTGAAAATGTAAATGCTAACTATAATAATAAATATAACACACTCATTTATTTCGCACAAACTGCTTTGTGCTGCAAGAGGATGTCTCACCGGCAGATTGCAAAGCTGCCCCGAACTGAGTGAGGATTACAAAAGTATGACTTTCTGCTGAAATAAAGCCCTTTTTCAAACACAACGGCTAGTTAATGACTAACCGCAAGACGCACAGTAGTTTAGTACAGGAAATAAGCTCATACTTCAGTGGAAGTGCAGGGGGACATGAGGTAAACAGATTAGCGGGGCAGGGACTTGGCCAAAATATTGGTCCTCTAGAGGTGTGCTGACAGCAAGCACTGCTGGATTTTTGACTGTCCCTTTGGATGGTTCACAGCCACTTCTTCCCCACCTCGCCAAAAAATACGGCTCCTCCGCCGCAGCCGTGTTCTTCTGCATGAGGTCTGTACGAGAGACGTGGATCCTGCTGCCCGCAGAGCCACTTCCTGCAGCGGGTGGCCGCCCTTGCCTCGCTTCTGCCGGACGAGCAGATTGCAACGGAGCCCACCTGGACCGTACGTGTGCTCCTGATGAGAAATGTTGATCCTTGAAACCAATAATTTGCTGGACGGGTGAGAGAGAGCATCTGCAGCGGAGCTTCTGCAGGCAGGGGGGCCTGTCCGGCTCACTCGGCGTACGGCAGACGTGTTCACAGCAGTGTGGAAGTTGTAGCCATGTTGCAGTTCTTTTTTTCTCGCCGTTTCACAGCAGAAGGGTTGCTGTATCGCGCCCTCTTAAAATAGCTCAGGGCTTTTAATCCTTTGATAAATTCACAGAAGCTCTATGCTGGGGTTTTTTTTGGTCTTGTTCGGTAAAGGAAAATCTTTGTCTGTTGTAGCTGTAATACTCAATGGTGCTGCTATCCCACTTTCTTTCCTAGCTACTGTCTTGTCACATAGGCATCAAGTCCCATGATGATTAATATTTTACTCAGCTCTGACTGATGCAAACTTTTTGACACTGCTCTCCGCCCTGGCAACCAGGTACATCTGGGGTTTTCCAGGATGAAAACAAAGGGACGCTGTGAAAAGCCGACCTACACTCTCCAGAGATAATACAGTACATTTCGAAAGTGACTGTGAGGTTAATTCACGGCAGTTGTGTGTTTTCTGGATCACCTTTCCTACAAACAGAACCACAGCCGTAAATTTTAGGAAGTCTTTTGTATTAGAAAGCTATGAGGACTATAAAGGTGAGAAGCACATTTCAGTAGTTTCCTCCTGACTGTCCTTGGACTTTTTTTTTTTTATCATGAAATAAACAGCAAAGAATTTGGATGAAAGGTTCATTTTTGGACTGAGAGGTGGTGAAGGGGTGGGGAAGCAAATGGAAGGGCTTTCAGGGTGGAGAGGAGGCAGCAGCAGGTGGGTGCTGAGACTGGTTTTATTGAACATCTTTATTCATGACCCGCAGAAGGCAGTATGCACACAGTCTCCAGGTATGCGGATGCTCACGACATCCTTAGGGCAGCCAAATGCCACA